TCTCTCATCTTTTTAAGTGGGAGAACGTGCACAATTGGTGGCTGACTAAATACTTTTTTGCCCCACTGTATAAACAACTTATGAGAAAATAGATAAAGTAAGGTTTTATTTATGGTCAAAACAAGAAAAAGGTTACTAAAAGTAAATGATCCACTGACATGGCCTGAACTAACAAAGCAATATTGGTTTAAAGCCCAAAGCACATTAAAAGAAAGGAGAAAAGTTACCAGCTTTGTTTCACTCTCATAAGCTGGATAAAGTAAAGCAACATAAACAATCAGCAACACATTTACATAAAACATGGCTCAGAAGATGTTTAATTCCATCCGTTTCATGGATGGGATTTCAGGTATTTAACCTGCTGATAGACCTTTTGAAGATATATTTCTACATACTAAGCTGGAAAACATAATTCTTAACATTCTTGACATCTGGCCCCATAAAGAAAATTGAATCTGAGAGGTAGAATCAGATTCCCAGTAATGGTAGAAGATGTTAAATCCATTTTCATTTTACTTGACTCGCAAAAGCAATTATCTGGCATGATAAAGGGATAAAGATGCACTGACAGCTTCATACCATATACACATTATTTCTTAATCTAGTTTACGAGAGAGGTTGCCTTTATTTTTCTGGTCTATGACTTTGATATTGAGGTAAAAAATCCAAAAGCAGGTGATGGTAAGCTAGTGGTAACAAAATTTATCTGACATGGTTGTGGAGAACAACGTGAACAAGAATTTGTCACTGGATATGCAAAAAAAATCGAATGAGGCTTTAAAAATTAAGAAGGAAATAAAAATGCCAATCCCAAAGAGCAATTGGAATAATTTCTTCTTGTTGGACTTACAAAAGAGGCTTCTTAAAGTTTTGAAGAAATTCAAGACAAGGGTCAATAACTGAATGGATTAAAGAGCAAGATTGCTTTAGGCAAAAGGAAGGAACATAAAGTTGGCTTATTTAATCACGGTTAAAATAGGACGTTTTTTCTGGACTTGTCAACATCTGGGTTGGAAAGGACATTGTATTGGATTTGCTTGCAGTGAAGAGCTGAGATATGGAATGATGAGTTTTATATTTGTTAACTAATGTTATTGTTTTAGAGCTCTGTTTGGACTTTTTGCTGACACCTGGATAGGAAAAGACATTGCTTATAGTTTGAGTTATGGGATGAAGAGTTTTATATCTGTTAATTAAGAGGAGGTGACAAGATAGTGAAATTGTTTATAATTGTGATGAAGGTGGGAAGTTGCTTTCTTTTTTTTTCTTTTCTCTTTCTATTTTCTCTTTCTTTTTTGCTTTCTTGCACCTTTTATTCTATTTTTCTTTTTAGTTTGTATTATCTTTTACTATTATAGTTAAAACTTTTAATAAAAAATTATTTTAAAAAATGCTACTCAGTGCCTGGGTCACAGACAACATATAGCTACAATATGTTTTATTTGCTTTCAGCTTAGGATGTTATATAAACTTACTGATTACGGTTTAGTGTGATATATGAATGAGATAACTATGGCCTAGTTAGCAAGCAACAGTTTTTCTAAAAAATTAGCCAATGAGAAATGTTGCAAATTTTTTTGAAGAACTATGTAAAAAGACAGTAAGACTGCACCTTTATCTAACTGTACCTACAAATTCATAAATCACTATTTATTTAAATGTATTAGCTGCCCATCTCCAATGGACTCTTATTTTTATGTTTAAACAGAAATGGGTAAGTAAGGAACGCTATAGACATTAGTTTCAAGTACAACTAGATATACTTTTATCTGTAAACAAAAAAGTTATCTGAGTTACTTTAATAGTACCATACACTTAAAAGACTAAAAGGAGAACCTTTAAATTCAGTATGAATGCACCCAGTGCTACAACCCTAAGCATATTAATTTGCAACTAAAAGAATTTACTTCTACATTCATAGCTAAGTTCAAGTACTTATTGTCAAGACCATGGTTTTCAAAGCTGTAGAGTATCGCCGTGAAAGGCTGAGTGAAGTAAATGGATGCCTTTGAACTGTGATGCTGGAGAAAATATCTGAGAATGCTTTGGACTTCAAGAAAAACAAATAATTCAAGATGATTTAAAACAGACATATCACTGGAAGCATAAATAAAGTTTGCATATTTTGAACAGATAATGCAGAAGCAAGAACCTTTAGAGAAAACCCCTGGTGCCTGGAAAAATTGAAGGCAAGAAAAAAAGAGGCTGGCAGAAGACAAGATATCGCAAGCAGAAGCAATTACTAATTGTTATAGAAAGGATCATGAAGAGTCAGAAGCTACTAAGCATATGAACAACAAAAGTTCAGCTGCAAGAATTTTGGGATGACTGTTGTGTTTTGCCACTGGCCTATCCATATAAAGCACCATAAGAAATCTCTAGTATGAAAAACTAACATGGTTCCAACAGGCCAATCCATCTGACCTTGAACAAGATCCTTCCCACTCTCCCACCCTTCATGTGTGCAGGTGCTCCAACTTGATTGGCTGAAAGCAGAGCTATCTTGGGTTTTGAACAACTGGGACAATAGCTTCTTTGCTTAATTGGACAGGAGACTCACTGAAGCACAGACATTCTGGACATGTTGCTCTTCAGAAGTTGGGGTTTCTTTTATTCCCTTTTTATCTGTGCTTTAGTAAGTGCATGAAATATAATGTATTCTTTCTTACTGCGTTACTGAGGATAACATCAATCTTCTCCTCTGCTGGAGAACCCCGTTCAACTTTACATCTGTATGCCATCAGTTGCTGTCGGTCCTTCAAGTCTTTGTATGTCTGGTAAACACCAAAAAGAGAAGCCAACTAAAGCAAAACAACTATTTTTTATCAACATCCTTACAATCACAGTGATCTAGACAGTTATCACCCATCCCTTCTCAATAACTGGTCTGGAAATCCTGCTGCTTCTTCCATAGGCTGATGCCAGACTTAAAGGCTGCCCCAACAAAGAATCAGGACTTTCCTTCAACTTCTTTTGGGTACAGAAGCAGTCAGCACATTCTATTACCTAGTACATTCAGTTTATACATAACATTCACTTTCTATTCATTTAAGTTAATATGTGATAATTGGAAGTTAAGGTTAACAGCAGAAGGCTAGCTTTAGCTAATTCTTTTCAAGCCAATGTTTTATTTCTGCTTTTAGGCTAAAATAGTAATAGAAATGGGCAACATTTAAACAACTGATGCTGTGTCTTAGAAGTCAGTGACTTGTGCCAACAAAATTTAGTCTAGCACATCTATCAGATTGGCATGTTTTCATGGATGTGGCAAAAAAATAGGGCTAGCATCTGTCAAAGGCAGGAAAGCTAAAACAAGATCTGCAAAGTATTGTCTTTTTCTTCCACCGATCCCCTTTCCCTGATCTAGAAGGAATTCCAAAGAACCTTTTTGCTTGACTAGCTACCAACATCACATGAATTTCCCTTCTGCTTTGTGTTTAGAAGAAATCAATCTAGTATGCATAGTACTGCCTGAAATAATAGGTTATGGAACTGTTGATTTTATGCATTTCTTAAAAAATTATATTTCAATATGTATTATGTTTTACTGAATATTTTCAGATACACAAATATACACATGCAATCGTCTGCTGATGTGGAAAGTTCGGTGTCTAAGTTATGGAAACTGACCAACACAGCATTAAAGAACTGAGAAGAAACTTGAAAGAGATGCACTCATGAGGTTAGGAAGGGTATTTTGTATACCACCTAGAATTGATTGATTGATTGACTGATTGATTGATTTATAAGTGAGCCCAAACTTGTAGTAGAAGCCACATCTTGTTCAGCGGGGTCAAACATAATCTGTTGATAGTAATCTGCTAAAGCTGCACTCAAAGGTGCAGCAAGCTGCTCTGTGATCTCTTTAAACATAACTATCCTAGAAGCAATTTAAAGAACACTATAAGGACCGAGGAAGGCAGCAGCTCTGAAATACAAGCTATAGCAAACTGCTAATGATAATTCCTTCAGGTATTTTAGGAATAATTTAGGAATTTTTGGCTAAAGAATCAATCCATGGCTTCTCTGCCTATTCCACAATTTCCCATAATCTCTAGGAAATGGCTTTCAGCAAGGAAAACATACATCTATAACAACATCATGGCACTTGTATTTCACAGCAAGATTCAACTTTGTCTCAACATCTTCCACTAAACGCACATACTCCTGTAGGACCTGTACGAAGAAGACAGAAAATATCAGCAGAATATTCATAATCCCTTTTCATCTCCCCTAATTTATTTCTACATCAGCTTCCCCCTGCAATAACTTTATTTTACCCCAAATTATATTTCTACACCAACCATTTTCCAAAAGCCAGGTGGTTGACTCAACAATCAAAGGTCTATTAACACAAACAATGCATACAGAACTAGAGAAATATCCCTTCTAGTTTTCCATATTCAATGAATAAAAATACATGGACACATGAAGACTTTTCAAGGTGGAGGCAATGGCCGGTAGGCCAGTGGACTATTTCCAGAGGCAGACTACTGGACAGCTTGCTCACTCACCTGCACTGGGGCATTGTTCCGCTGCAAGATCTCCACCACCCGATGGAAACCAATAGGAGCTCTTTTTTTTGTATAGCCTAACCAATTCTGAAATTACAAATGGAAAAAAGAAATTAGCACCAGACCTTGTGATGGTCTGGGGATGAGATGCACTGCTAAACATCACTTAGGAGCAGACAACAGATATTCTTGAATAGCAACTCCTCTTTTTGTGTATGTCCAAAAGGAAGATGCATTCTTTCTTGGACAAAGCTGCTGTCCTTTTTTGATGTAATATACCTATATGATACATTAGCAATTCAAAGAGAATAATTAGACAAGCCTCTTCCTATAAATGAACTAATCCATAAAGCATTGTATAAGGGCAGGTAGATTAGCACCTCACTGGCATAGAGAATCATTATGCCAAGCAGTATAAGTCAGGCATACCCATGAGTCAGTGAAGATCAGCAGGGACTTACCTTTGTTGTTGCTTTTTTTAATAGTAATTTTATTAAACGTTACAATTAAGAAGATGAAAATTAATACAAACTAAAAGAATAACAAAATATAAAGTGCAGGAAAGAAAAAAATAGAAAGAAAAATAGAAAAGAAAAAAAAATAAGAATAAAGAAAAAGAAAATATATAAAGAAATGACTTCCCCCTTCATCACAAGTATAAATAATTTTCATAACTTATCACCTTCTCTTAAAATACAACAAATAATCTCTTCTTCCCATATCTCATCTCTTATCTATAAACAAATCCTTAAAACCTTGTCCATTCAGTCCTGATCAACAAAAGTCCATTAAGGATTACCAGAGATAACAACATATACATTTTAACCTTGATCAAATAAACCAACTTTATATTCCTTCCTTTTACTTTTAACCATCTTGATCTTTAATCCCTTCAAATAATGTCCTAGAACTTGATTTCTTTCATTTTTCCTTTGTCCCTTCTCACAAATTCTTCAAAGCTTCAAGTCTTTTTTTGTAAATCCAATATAGGAAAGTTATCCAGATTGCTTTTTTGGTTTGTTATTTGTATATCCCTTTTAATTATTAAGACATCAGCCAGTTTCATTTGTATATCCAGTGTAGCATCTTTTTCCATATCATTCTTGTAGCTTGGTATTTTTAAATCCACTTTCAGATCAGTCTTTATTTGTATATCCCTTTTAATTATTAAGACATCAGCCAGTTTCATTTGTATATCCAGTGTAGCATCTTTTTCCATATCATTCTTGTAGCTTGGTATTTTTAAATCCACTTTCAGATCAGTCTCAGTCTTGTCCAGTAAAACTTGTTCCTCTTCTATAACATCTTTTAAACACAATCTATCTATAAGGGCAGACACTCTTAAAATTAACTTTTGGGTTCACTGTTCAAAAATATCATCCAATGTTAACATATTTTGCTCCATTCTGTACTAGCAAGTCAAATTTAAGTGTTCTTCTCCTTTAACTGTAATCTTTACTTCCTTCTGGTTCCCTTTAATGTCCAACCTTCAAAACAGTATGAATCAGTGACCAGGCAAACCCATGAGTCAATGAAGATCAGCAGGGACTCACCTTTGTTGTGAACAAAGCATCCACATCATGCCATGCTCGGAGTTTGGCACGAGCAGCCAGAGCTGTTAGCACATACTGTTTGTCTGGAATCTGTAGGGAAAGAAATGGAAATCCTAGAAATGGGTTGACAGAGCTAGATTGTGATCCAGTGTGAAGTAATGGGTAAGGTGGTAGATTAGGACTCTGAAAACCCAGGTTCATACCCATCCTTAGTTATGGAAGCTCACTGGATGATTTGAGGCTAATCATTCTCTGTCAGCCCACTCTTCCTAAGAGGTTGTTGTTGTGGGAAACAACTAGAGGAGGAAATACTTTGTATACTGCCTTAACCTCTTAGAGGAAACCAAAAATAAAAAGAGTTAAATTGTGGACCTTCAGTCATCTGTTGGTTGCTGAAATTCTTGTAATGAAAGTTCACTTACATGGGCTTTGGTCTGATCTAGCAAGGCTTTCCTTATGTCTTATCCAACAGCACATTATCTGGATAATTTCACATAATTTTTATTGCTTTCTTTGTTTCATAGTTTTATTTATTTATTTATTTATATTTCAAATTTGTCACTGCCCATCTCACTGTGAATTTTCTACATAACAGTGAATCATGTGAAGAACATGATAATAGCAATAAAAAATAATAAACAAAAACAGTAATAGGCCATGCAAGAAGTCTGTCTACATCTGAATTAAAACATACTATACATTAGTCAATACCAGCCACTCAATAAGCCTTGCAGAATTCTGCAGGTGAAATGGGGGTAATGCAGCTGTAGGTAAATACAATCTGTATCTCTGAACCATAGTGCAAAAGAATGTATTCCATCCAACATTAGACCAAGCTGAACATGACCCCAAACCCATTGACACTCTTATGCACTGCCCTAAAGAAAAGATAAGGAGCAAGTGAATGAACTTAAGCTTGTTTCTTGTACTATGGCTGTGAATTCAGCCTCTTGATCAGTGCAATGAATGTTGCCCAATTAAGCTGGTAATAATTAAACTTTGTCACACTTCATGGTTTTAGCAGCACAA